TATTAATATTAACTAAATTAATTTTGTTTTTTTTTTGCGATTACCGTTTTCAAAATTTAATTCAAAAATGAAATTGACACATCTATCAAGAAACAAACGTATTACATTCGTTCATTATACTTACATATTGTATAATATGTATTATAATGTATATACTCGTACCAGTAACAGAGAGATATGGCGAAAGAGAGTGCTAGCAAATCTTCAATTGTAAATGATTGTCCAATCAGGAAGCAGGATAAGATCGGATCATATTCTCCATACATCTTCCTCTTTCTTCTCTTTTATTCATACACGCCTGCCTCTCTATTTGTCTCTCTGCCTGGTTGTTTGTAAGTCTGGCTATTTGTCTGTCTGTCTGTCTGTCTGTTCGGCTATTTGTCTACATACATGCGTAGATCAAATGATGCTCAGGCAAATGCAACTGTTTGATTTCGTTCATTTCATTCACATCATATCTTTCTTTAACTTTCTTTCTTCTTGTCTGTCGGTCTGCGTTTGTGTGTTTGGGTGTTTGTGTCTGTATATTTAACTGTATATTTGAATGTTTCATGTTCGTTTCTATTAATGTCTATGTAATGGATATGCCTTCTTTTTAACTACATTTTGTGATACCCACATTTGGGAGTGATTTTATCCTTTTTCAAGAAGGTGGTTTCACTGGCTTTTGCATCTGCGTGGAATGTGGATGCTGGTTTGTGCTTCCAGGCAAATTTTAAATATGTGCGCATATATATTTGTTACACTCAAACAAGACACATACACGTATGTATGTATGTATATATATATATATATATATATATATATTCATTTATTTATTTATATATATGTATATATATATATATATAATATACCTATTATATACCTTTATACCAATTCAAATAAGGAAAATTGAACAGACAAACTTTAAATTGATTAATGCCAACAATTCGGTAGAATTCATACAATACTATATATATATATATATTCTATTCATATATTTATATATATATACATACTGCATTATTGTAAGGACGTATGTATGTATGAGATATCCTGATGTATAGCCAATGAGAGGCAGTAGATTACATCACGTGTTCATGACGTAATTATTATCAATGAATGATGGGATTTACGAGCAGAAGTGATTATTTCGGCGCGAAAGTGATCGTCCATGTATCAATCATTGTTCAATTAAAAATTAAGTAGTACCAAAGAATAATATTTAACGATATTACGTAATACTCAGCGATATTCGGAAGTAAATTTTGATGTCTATCGTTGTGTGAGTGTCGTGTTTTGTTGTGTGTAACCCTATAAAATTGTGTATGTATGTATGTTTTTAAACAAAGTGTGACGACACCTGTACGTGAAGTTTGCATATGTGTGTTTTTGTGTGTGTGTGGTGTGTGTTTGTGTGTGTATGTGGTGTGTGTATGTGGTGTGTGTGTGTATGTGGTGTGTGTGTATGTATTTGTTTGAGTGTGTTTTTCTATGTACTCAAATATAAGTTTGGGCAAATATAAAATTTTGACTACGTATATATAATAATAAGAGCGTGTTTATAAAGTTAAAAATCATATTTGTCATGTATGTTTGTGTATTACCAGGTATGTAGATGTGTTGTCATGTATGTTTGTCTGTTTTTTTTTGTATCTCGTGTAACACACAAAAGGTTTTGAAATAATGGTTGTTGTTGCTGCTGTTGTTGAGCTCTATTAGGTGTTCATGTTATCGTCTAGAATTAACAAATGTCAATGTTATCATTTAAATTAAAATGATGATACACTAATTACGGTCCGCTATCATACGCAGACAAGCAAACACTCATACGCAGACAAGCAAACACATCTCTCGATATACTTCATACGTAGGTACACAAACAAACATACACACACACACAAACGGATACGCAAACACAGAGAGACACACACAAGCGCAGACACAGACGGACACAAAAAGAAACATATTTTTAATCAGTGCGGATAAAAGAATTACCGGGTAACATACGGGCAAACACACACACAGGCACACACACAGACAAACAAATTTGCACACATACACATACAAACACATACACTGACAAACACAAAAGCTAAATCCCATTACATATATAATTATCTACAATTATATATGCATATAATACATATATATATATATATATATATATATATATATATATATATATATTATTTGTATACACTAATATAGGAATTGTTGACAACGGTCATGACATGACATGTTATACGTCAAAGCCCATCACCTCTAGGCCAAATTGGATTAACAAGAAGATTTCCGAATGGATGAATGCATGGATGGACGGACGGATAAGTGAATGAATAGATGGATGAATAGATGAATGAATGAATGGTGAAAGGATTGATGGATGGATGGATGGTTAGATGGATGGATGGATGTATGGATGGATGGATGGATAGATGGCTGGATGGGTGCATGCATGGATGCATGCATGCATGGAAGGACGGACGGACAGAAAGACGGACGGACGGACGGATGGATGGATAGATGGATGTGTAGATTGATGGATGGATAGATAGGTGGATTGGCGAATGGTTGTCTGGATGGGTGAGTGAATGAACGAATGAGTAGATCGATTGATGAAAAAACGAACGAATTAATGAATAAATGAACGAATGGATGCATAAAAGCATGTATTTATAAAAACTTTTTTATATAAGTGAATGAATAAAAAGTTAAAGGTAAAGGAGGAAAGATGAATGAATGACTAAAAGTTGGATGAACGAACGAAGTAATAGATGGATGGATGAGTAAAGACAGTTGGACAGATGGATAATTATATAGTTGAATGCGATATATATTTCCTTTCAACAGTTATGATTTTAACAATCAATATCAATAACATTAACCTTCAACAAGAAGCATAATTAATGTTATGCGTATGTGTATGTGAGTGTGTGTGCATGTGTGTGTGAGTACACGTATTCAAAAAAATTCTGAAGTAGAAAAGAAAGCTCATTAAAAAAGCAAAAAAGAGAGAAAAAGAGAGAAAAAGAGAGAAAAAAGCAGAAAACTCTCTTCAAAATTTTACCCAAATTGAGATTTTGAAAAGAAGAATGGAAGTAGTTGGAATGTGGTGATATTCAACAAGTGGCACAAGGACTTCACGAATGTTATCCGTTGTTGACCGCGATCTCTTCTCCCTGCAATCTTTCCAGTAGTTAGTAGTTAGTTGTTAGATTTTCCATTTTTTCCTTCCGCATGATGTGACCAAAAAACTTCAACTGCCCCCGTCGGATTATCTGTAGCAATTTCCTCTTTTCATAACCGGACTGTTTTAAACTATAGAAAGAAACTTATATTAAAACATACGTGTGTTAGAGATATGAATAAGTAGCATTGCAATTTATAATAATATAACCATAGATATAGATATAGATATATAATATTATATAACATAATATAATTATATCCATGAATTTAACCAAAACGACTTACAGACGAATAACTCGAACATGAATCCACGCTAGCAGTCTGGTGATTAAATTTGTAAATTACCAACATTGTTCAATTCAAGTTTTCTATTTTTTTCTCTAACTTTTTTTAGAGTTGTTACGACAGGAACAATTAAAGCATAGTAACAATTGTAATGTAATGTAAATCTATGTAGGTGGAGTACAATAGTTTCAATCAGCCAATCATTAGATTAATTAATGAATCAATGAATGAATGAATCAATCAATCAATCAATCAACCAATCAATCTAATTGGTCACTCAACATATCAACCAATCTATCTATCTATTAATCGATCAAAATTATTTTATATCGTTTTTTCCGTCCGGTTAAACTGCGATTTTTGATGAATTTTGCCTGTAGAGATCTGCTCTGCTGATTCTGTTTTAGGTGATTGTCAGAGAGACTGACGGCCGGTCAGATCTTAGGACAAAGAAACAATTTTTTAAGTTTGTAAGTTTGTAACTTAAGTTCGTAATCATATATTTATAATAAATAGAGCCAATGATTGATTCATGTGACATGCTTGAACCAAATTGCGATATAACAATACATCATTCAAATATTCGTTTCTAAACAAGTTTCTTCACAAAAAGGATTAGTTGTTAAATAATGCATCTTTATGATTATTTGGTTTTTATAGTTAATTTTATACTTTTAATCAGTCAAAAATGAATAAAATGACAAAAATATTGGCACGAAATTGACTGCAACAGAGAACCAAGAACAAAAAGCACAGATCCTAAAGTAATGTTTTGAATCTAAAATTTCTGCATTATCGCTAAATAAAAAACTCCAACATAGTTAATTTAGTTAGATTTAATTAAATTATTTATATTATTTCAAAGAAATATAGCTTATTATAAAAATTCAATTATGCTTAAAGTTAGCATTTTGGATTTTCATTTCAAATTTGGAAAATTTGGAAAATATTTTTTAATATTCCATTCATTCAATTCAATCAATTCAAATTTTCTTAGAAGCAAAGAGAGATAGTACTTATAATTTTATATATGGATAAAGATAAACTGTATGTATTGTTTGGTATGTCTGTTAAGTTTCAGGTCTTAATGAAGTCAGTCATAATTATTTCCTAATTTATAACCAGAAAATGTTCTTATATATTTTTTGGCTTGAGCCTAGTTCTTGCTTTAAGTAAGTACTACTTTAGATAAAAAAAACTGGTAACAGATAAAGAAGCTATTATTAAACTATAAGAAATTAGTAATAACTACAAATTTTAAACATAAGTTTTGAAAATTAAATAATAAAGATAAGGAGAATAATATAGTTATAGATTATTTTAGTAATTATATTAAAAAACATGAGCATAGAAACCTTGAAATTTGAATAGATAAATAATATGGTAGTAAACATAATATAATTATAGTATTAAATATAATAAAACTGTACTACTACAGTTATGATATTTCTTTACACTAACCCTATTATTACTCTATGAAAAAAGTTTCATAGAAGCTATGTTTATTCTTGCCTTCTTGCAATAAAATTGTTTATTTTCCTTAGCAAGGAAATCTGCAGTTTGAAGACAAATGGCCAAACATGCGACCGACGGTGTTGAAACTTCTCCATCAAGAACCTGTAACCAGGGAGGAATGGCAGGATTTGTTTTGGTCAGAAGATCGAATTTTTTTCAATTATTTAAAATTTTTATATTTTTTTTAATGTTGTGATCTAAAACAATGTGGATACTCTTTGAACAATTCACTAGTGAATAATCAATGAGTTGGTTTTGGTTTGTTGATAGGTGCTCTAGGATTTTGGTTAAATAAATGAAACTTGCATAATGTCTTATAAGTTTAATGTTTTCACTATTACTACGTGGGTTTTAATTTACTATTACTATGTGGGTTTTAATTTGATCGTTCACATGATTTTTAATTTAGAGTAATTTGATTAGTCGAATTTGCTTAAAATAAGATACAGAGTCATATTTTTTACAATATCGTGTATATCAAGCTTGGTTGATGAATAGAAATGAATCATTATTACATCTCTGTACTTCTAGGTCTGTGCATTCAGTTTGCCTGTGGGATGAGAAAGGTGCCTCAAAGGTGCACAAGGCTCTCCACGACGACATACTCTGGTTCATTAAAGGAGCTCAAAATGTTATATTAATAATAATTCTGAATCAATCAATCAACAATTATATAAATTAGGCATTCAGTATTTTATTTTTCTAGCAGTCATTACAACATTTTAACATTTATTTCTTATGATATTCATTTAATATTTACTTGGCAACATGCTCACCAGCCAGCAAAATAATTTATATTGGACAGAGAGTTCTCCTACACCAAGATGATTCAGCTCTGTTGAAGGCTTACATAGCAGAGTGGAGCAAGTTTTTCACACAATGTGATTACCTGCCCAAACCATTCGGTCAGTTGGAGGCCACGCTGATTGGAAAGGGCTCTGCTCGTCCCAACAAAACTCCCGGCGAAGAAAGTATTGTCAGAAAAGTTCGTTTGTTTAACACTGTGAAGATGATATTCAGCTTAGATATACTTGAATTATAAGCATGTAGATGCCTAATATTTTTGATGCTCAATAATATTAAACACTCTTGAAACAAGTAGTTTCTTTTGTTTTCAAGTTAATGCTGGACAGCTGGAATCAGAGCATCTTTTCAAACATAAAGGACAGACTGCAGGATAGTGCCATGAAGTTGGTGCATGCTGAAAGGAATGGCGAGGCATTCGATACACAGCTAGTCATTGGGGTTCGAGAATCTTATGGTTAGTCTGTCTGTCTTTATGTCTCTATATCTGTTTGCCTGTCATACCCACCCACCCCCTTCCACACACACACACACCCTCACACACGCACAAACACACACACACTCACACACACACACACACTAGTGAACCTTAGTAGTAATTGTGAAGATAAGCTGAAGATATACAAAGACAACTTCGAAAAGGCATACATCAGCGCTACAGAAAGCTTCTATAAGGCTAAAGCTCTTGAATATAGGTGAGCAGTCATGTTAATAATGCATCATTTTGTGCTTTGATTTAGCATGTGGAGAATACACACAGACACACGCACACAGACACACACACACACACACATACACACACGCACAGGCAATTAAATGGCGTGCAGTGTTACATGAAGTATGCTGATACAAAGCTGAAGGAGGAGGAGAACAGGGCAGTCAGATATCTGGAGAGTAGGAAGGATTGTAAATCTGTCGAGACGGTAAGATTGTGAGTGACGTTATTGTAAGGTTACGTGATGGCGAAGTCATCGTGATGTCGCGTGATAATGTTTAACTAATAAATAAGAATGATGATGATGGATATAATTATAATTAAAATTCTTCATCATCTTCATCATTATTACAATGGTTATATATTGAACATTGAGATGATTTTGTTTAAATTTTATATTAATTCCACTTAGTTTAATTGTGTTTAATATCACTGCAAATTGAGAATTTTTATAAAAATAATTTGAATTTTTAAAAAGTTTTACACTTGAATGGTAATTATAGTAAGGTTAATTTTTTTCTTAATTGCATGTGAAGTCATTTTATAGTTTATACCAAATTGTATCATCATTGTTTTAGTCATCATAGTGAATAACATATATAATGTCATCTTTATGTTATGATATCATATCGTCATCTTTTTATCTTTATCTCCATCATTTGGGTATCATCATTTCATCAGCAGCATCAATTCATCCTATCATCATATTCGCATCGTGCAATGCGGCATTTTTTTAACCACCGTGTTGTCATATGATCATGCCACTATCTATATATCATCTGTTTTAGGATCATTTTCCATCATCGTCAACGTTCTCATCTTTATCCTCATTTTTATCATCATCTTCGTCATCATCTTCATCATCATCCTCATCTTCATCATCATCATCTTCGTCATCATCATCTTCATCATCATCCACAGTTAGTAGCATGTTGCGTCAAGGTGTTAGTAGCGGACCACAAAGACGAAATAATTGCTCAATGCCCTTCCATGATACATATAAACGAAGTCGATAGTTAGTAGATACATACATTGAGATACATTTGTTTGGATACTTACATTCAAATACATATATCATGATACATACACTGTGATTCATACATTGACATACATACATTGAGATACATGTGTTTGGATACATACAATCAAATACATATATCATGAAACATACACTGTGATTCATACATTGACATACATACATTGAGATACATGTGTTTGGATACATACAATCAAATACATATATCATGAAACATACACTGTGATTCATACATTGACATACATACATTGAGATACATACATGTCTCATTGTATTTTTGTATACGTGTTTATGTGCATTCCTATTTATGTTTGCCTTGCCTTGCAGAGCTTCGACTGATGTTCAGTTTGCTGGATCGCATCGACGACGGCATACAAGAGATGCTGAGGTACCTGGAGGACCACATCAAACTGCAGGGCAAAGAGGACATGAAGGCCTCAGCTGAAATCATCACCACCGTTCGTTATTCTGATTGCTTGTTGGCCGCGATGATTAACTGCTGACTGAATAGTGTGTCACAGTGATTGCATGAACTAACTCGCCATTTCAGTTAATTTACTGAAAATAAAAAACACTTACAAAAAACTATTTTTTCTCTACCAAGGACTCGGAGCAATACGTTGAAAAGTTACTGCAACTGTTCAATAGGTTCAGCTCATTAGTCAGAGATGCATTCAACGATGATCCAAGGTTTCTCACCTCCAGAGATAAGGTTCTTTTCGATACTTTTATGGTACCTTTCGATGATATATAAGATTGATAACTCCGAAACAACAATTTTCTACCTTCAGGCATTTGAAGATATAGTCAATGATACGTCAATTTTCAAATTAGAACTCGCTACAAAATCAAAAGGGTACATTTTTATTTTCGTCATTTTCGTTTAAATGTTTCATGTTATTTTGTTACTTGAATTGATATTTTTTCAATATAATTTTATTATAATTATTGGTATTATTAATTATTCTTCATTGGCTGACTGATTGACTGACTAATTTATTTAAGACTAGGTTGTTCGTTAATTCATTCATTTGTACATTGGCTGAATGAGTGAGTGACTGATTCATCCATTCTCTCACTCATTGATTGATTGATTGATTGATTGATTGATTGATTGATTAGTTAATTGATTGATTGATCGATTGATTGATTGATTGATTGATTGATTGATTGATTGATTAGTTAATTGATTGATTGATCGATTGATTGATTGATTGATTGATTAGTTAATTGATTGATTGATTGATTGATTGATTGATTGATTGATTGATCTCTCACAGTGTGACAAACTTGAAATCCATGGTTCCCGAGTCGAAATGTCCCGAATTGCTAGCCAACTACTGTGATATGCTTCTAAGGAAGACTCCTCTGAGTAAGAGGTTGACGTCTGAGGAGATCGAAAAAAAACTCAAAGATGTCGTTAGTGATGATGTCACGAGTGATGTCATGATGATTTCACGTTGATGTCGTGAGTGACGTCACGATTGATGTCACGAATGATTTTACGCTGATGTTGTGATGATATTCATGACTGTGATGATGGTCATGGAGATGTAACGGAGATGTCTTTTGTAATGACGTCATGGTGATGTCGTTGGAGATGCTGTTTACGATGATGTCATTACGATTGTGTGATGATGTCACGGTATACGGATATACACCATATATATCATATATATCATATCATGATACACACAGATATTAGTACTAAAATACGTGCGTAACAAAGATGTCTTCATGCGCTTCCACAAGACACACCTGATCAGACGGCTTATATTAGAATCGTCTGCTGATAGCGAAAAAGAGGAGAACATGGTTGACTGGTTGAGAGTGCGTTTGGTTTATTTTTTGTCTTTTTTTTGTGTGTGTCAATCCTTTTTTGTGTGTCAATCATCTTGTTTTTTAATACATTGTCACATTAAAAAACATCAAAAATAATGTTTTTAAGAAAAATAACAAACATGTTAATAATAACACAAACACACACCGTTCTATCATTTATTCATTCGTTTGTTCGTTCATTCATTCGTTCGTTTGTTCGTTCGTTCATTCATTCATTCATTCATTCACTCATTTACTAATTTCTTCTATCCATCCATCACATACAGGAAGTTGGAGTGCCAGCGGATTTTGTGAACAAGTTGCAAAGAATGTTTCAGGATATTAAGGTGAGTGAGGATTTGAACCAGGAATTCAAAGAAGTTCACAGGGATCACAATGAATACATTGCTGGTTGGTCGTTGTTCTGTGCTGTCTGGCTGTTGTTGCTGCGTGGTTGTTGTTGTTGTTGTGTGATGGTTGCTGCATGGTGGTTGTTGTTGTGTGGTGGTTGTTGCGTGGTTGTTGTTGTTGTGTGGTGGTTGTTGTGGTTCTTTTTCATTCCTTTGGCTGGTTTGTTACTCTTTGTTATGATTGGACGAATAATCTGATGTAAATAATAATTATAACTGTAGAACCTTGAAATTCACTCAACTGAACATTCCAAAATATCACAAACAACAAACGAATCAACACGACGTCTTGACATAAAAATGCCAAACTAGTAACAAATTTCCAAGTCACTACAACACTACGACAACAACAATGATGATGCAGACTCCATCAACATCAAAATCTTGAATGCCGGCGCATGGGCGAGAACCAGCGATCGAATACCCGTCACACTTCCTACAGAACTTGAAGATTATATACCCGAGGTATTTGCGTATTGTCTTTTACTTGTATTTGAAATTTTACTCGTGTATCTACTGTATTATATATTGTTTTATGTTCTTTTCTGTGTTAGGTTGCATAATGATCTTCACTGTTGTATTGTGTGTGTATTGCATGTATTATGTCTTGTGTGTGTTGGCTGGCTGACTGACCGACTGACTGATTTAAATTCACCTATCGAATTTCTGAACTAAGGTGGAAGAGTTTTACAGACAGAAGCACAGAGGTCGCAAGCTGCATTGGCACCATTTCATGTCCAACGGAATTGTTAGCCTCCTTCCTAATTACACTTTTTTTCTTTCAAACTATAAAATTTGTGATGTAATTTAATCAATTTTTGTGGTTTTCTTCACAGTTACGTTATTCATATCGGCGTAAATGTTAGCTGGCATAAACTTTGTATATGATTTTTTTTCTGGTGATAATTTTTAGTTTTAACTACCTACTTGAGTCTTTTCGATATATTCCAGAGTGCATTTAATTTAAAAAGTACATTATATTTGTTTATGTTGTATCCAGTCCTATGAAGAAATTTACAAGAGTGTTGTTCATAAATTTTTGTGATTTATATCTGAGTGTGATTTTTTATGAGTTTGTGTTAATAGTTTGATAATTCTATATTTGTGCGCGCGTACATTTGGTGGAAGGAAATAAATTTAGTATTTCAATCATTGGACCGAAAACAGATATCATTCTCAAACAAATCTGGAAAGTTCGACCTGGAGGTGACGACGTTTCAGATGGCGGTCCTGTTTGCTTGGAACGAACGCCCTCTGGAGCGGATCAGCTACGAAAGTCTCAAACTGGCAACTGAACTACCTGATTCTGAACTCACTAAGACCTTATTTGTTAGTTCTCCAATGCCTGTGCGTGTGTGTGTCGGCTATTTTAATTGCTCGGTTCTTTTGTTGAATTATTCATTTATTCATTTATCTATCCATACATCCATTCATCCGTCCATTCACTCACTCATTTATTCATTCATTCATTCATTTTTGAGCAAAATTAAACTGTAGTTGCATCTATTCAACTTAGTCGTTAAATCAAAATCTAATATTTCATTATACCATATTTTTTTTTTCAAAATAATTTCTTTCCAGAGTCTGGTACAGTCTCCTAAATTGAGGAAGCAAGTTTTGCTCTGCAGTCCTGAGGCTAAAAAGCCGACAGATATCAACGAGAGTTGCATGTTCTGGGTCAATCAAAACTTCAGCGTCATGTATTACATTTTTCCTTTTTTCATTCACTTTTCTGATTATTTCTCAAAATTTTTGGCTTACTAAATTATTAAAGTTATTTTTTAAAATCCAATTCGATGTTTTCATAATATGTATAAAATGTTTCAAAGTCGTTGCTTAGCTACTGATTACACCCTAGTAAATTATCGACAACTGTCTTAGTCACTTTCATTCATGTTTGTGTTGTTTTGTGTTTAGAAATATCACGCCGCCAACTACAAGTACGTACGTATACAAATATCTGACTCGTTGATCTAACTACTGCAAAAATGACACACATCAGCACACCCGTTGTATGAATAGCGTACCATCAAAAAGTTCCTAAAAATAATAATTAAAAATAATAAAAATAAGAATAATAATATACAAGCCACACCCACCAAATCCCTCTACCAGCAAAAACAACAAGCCCCAACCGCGAGGTAAAATAAGCCTGATTGGTCGGATGACATTTACCACAGACAGGGGCAAAGAGGAGGATAGTGATAGTATCATTCAGCTGAGGATACTGAGAGTTCAGGTGAGATGGTGAGGACGTTTGAGTGAGGGGTGAATATCATTTGTGTGAAGTCTGTATCATATCCTCTGTGCGTATATATCCTACGTGTGTCTGTTGTGGTGTGATGTAATGTCTTTTTAGTGTGTGTTTTTATCTATCATTTAAAATCAGATTATTATTTTTACAATTTTGATTCAAATATTGAATTTGTTTTACAGACGGATTGATATGTGAATTACTTCAGCGTAATTATTTTAGTTTGTAGTCGATTTAATTGTTTATAAATAATAATTAGGCCTCATAACTTCTCTCTCCTTTTACTTTTATTCTAGGAAGAGTGACCTTTAACCTTTTTAACCTTTCCTCATAGGAAGCCATAGTGAAAATCCTAAAGATGCGAAAGACGATAAGCAATGCAGCCTTACAGACTGAACTAGTAGAGATTCTGAAGAATATGTTTCTGCCTTCGAAGAAACTCATCAAGGAGCAGATTGAGTGGTTGATAGAGCACAAGTACATGCGCAGGGATGACGAAAACATCAACCAGTTTATCTATATGGCTTAATTCATCTCAATTTTAACGTTTTCTTCCATTTTTTATATTTATTTATTTATTTTTATTTATTTGTTTTTCTGTATTTTTTTTTATTCTGGTCGGCTGTTTTTATCATGATTATGTATACATAGTTTTTTTTTTGTAGAAATTTATTTAAAGTCTGTTGCTGTTCTTTTGTTTGTTTGTCGTTGTTGTTTTAACTTTCTTGTTGGTAGCACTTGTTATTGTTCATATTATTATTATTATTGTTGTTGTTGTTGTTGTTATTATTATTTTTATTGATTGTATTTATTATTATTGTTATTTATTTATGTTTTTATTATTATTTCTTATTGACTGAGTTACAAACAAGCAATTTACAACAAATGAACAATCTTAATAATGGATTGATGTAAACAATATTTCAATGAATTTAGTGTGGCTTTCAGTTTGACAAAGAGACCCGTTATAATCAGCACTTCCTTCATTTTATTTGCTTTTCCGATTTTTTCCCAATTTATTTTTTAATTAATCTTCTGATTTCTATAATTCATCAAACCAGTATTCATATTATTTCAACGAGGTGTACATTTACTGGCAACGATCTGACTTAACGTTGTTAAAGTTTTTTTTTCTATTTAACGAATTAAATTTCAAACGAAACAACTACCCTTACGAAATTGCCAAAATTTGTAAAACGTCGGAGAAAGCATTGAAACAAATAATAATCAACTGATCAGAAGGTGGAGGTAATGTACGTTTACCTCGGCAACATCTTAGCACCTGGCCTGAGAAGCGATGATATTAACCATTGAACATTGGCAGTGGTCTTCAGTTTAACTTTGTGATATTTCGTTGTTTGATTTTGCGCGCTTTTTGTTTTTTTTTCCAATACTTGTTTTTAGAATAAAATGTTAGCAATCTTACACAAAACAGATTCGCTTTGTTTTTTTTTTTCGTGAAATCACATTGTTCTAAGAGGCGGTCCCAAGCTTTCTAGGTAGTAAAGTTTGTTGCTGTGGATGAGTCGAATTTTCCCTGGTTTCTGATAAAGTTTGATCATTGTGTAATTATTTGAGTAATTACAGTAATTGAACTAAAGAAAAAGTTTCATAATGTAGACAACGCTTAAAAATCGAAAGCGTTCACAAAATCCTTTTGAAAGGAGAACGGAATTTACTCTCTTAGTCTTTACGTAGTCCCAGCTCACATTTCTATATGTAGGTATACTTAAACTTTACTTAATAATGTAATACTGGTACGATTTATTTGGCACGGCATCCAGGCATATTTGTTATTTCATGACGATAGCGTCCATGTAGAGAAATGCATGTGGGCAAGTTTGGAATTAAAATTGTTAACTTTAGTCAGTTATTAAAACACTTTGGCAAGAAAGCTCATTAACGTTGCACCGCCGAAGATATAAAAACTATATCCCCGTTATATATGATCACTTAATTGCAATAAATTTTGAATAATCTTCCTCACTGATGAGATCGCTTCAAATTGCTCGTTACTTCGTTAACATATATATTTTTACATATTACGTTCCGTATGTTTGTACGCGCATCTTATTTACAAACGTGTTTGTTGGTAATTGCTGGCATTGCACCAAACAATCGAATCTTATTTAATGTTCTTTGGTGGATTTAATGTTTTGCACGTGCAGCATCCAGATGAGGCCAGATTATTTTCAAACGACACGACACTGCTACCGACCTGCGACATTCATATTTAGATTATTTCATATCTGAAATTTTACGATTTGACAATTATTTGTTTAGAATTAAAAAGATCGAAGGAAAGTTGACTGCCTACAAATAACTTGATACTTTTATCACTATTATTGTTGACAGCACCAAGAGCAAAACAACTGCAACCAACAAACAACGACAAGCAGTTAACAAGACAAAAATGTCGAGTTCGTTCTCGTCAGCGGGTTAGATGCGGTGGTAGGTAAGTGGGCAGGCAAGCTGGCCATCCCAACTAATCTCAAAGATCTTCAGCGATCAGTGCAGATAGGCGGGTAGGCTCATTTATTAAATGCTTGCGGATTTATCGGCTGTCCTCATGACGATGGCTTGTCACTAAAGATCATTAATTTTATCGACATTTTACGGCGGACATTTGTTTGCAATGCTGGTTTTAAATTTAAAACGACGAAAATGTTTTTTTTAAATGTTTTAAACGAAAATTGATAAACCATTAATTAAAAAAGACATTGCAGAATGTTACAAAATTGTACATATTTAATAGATAATTATATTTTCGCGGACACAAGTGTTATAAGATTCAATTCGGCAGCAGGTGGGCATTCTCTAGGGACCAGCCAGCAAGCTCATCAGCATTCGAATGAATATTCAATTGCATGGCGGCATTGATGGAAGGAGAGAATTAAAGGAATCCATGAAAATGTGAGTGAATTTTGAATAAAATTGACATCATTCAACATGGAATGTGCAAACTTTTACTCTAGGAATTACATGTGCA